ACTTAAGTTATGTACATTATATTTCCACCATTTGTTTAAGGGTGTGGTTTGTATAAGGCTATGGCTATAAAAAGTCAAAGTAAGACGCACTTTCAAATAGTATCGAAAGATGTTATTTAGATTTGGGGATCTTTGTGATGGTTTGAATTTTTTTTTATCTCTAATTATAAAATTTTTAGTTTAAAAAATAGTGTATATCAAAGAGATCTATGAATACTTGAAAATTTATGGTCTAGAAAATATATTATAAGATGCACTATTTCCAAGACTTGAAATTCAGTTTTTTTCATGTTCATACATCTTGAGGTTGAGATGACCGATTTGAGGATTTCTATCATCAAAACAACCCTTTCTAGTGAATTTTTGAGGTGCGTCTTAATTTGATTTTTTAGGGCCTCACCCTAGTACAATTTTTTATTTTCTTCAAATATAGGGGAAATATAATCATGTTCGTCAATTTGCTTCAAAAAATCAATTTAGGTGGTTAAGCAGACTAAATATAGTTGTTACTTTTGAAAAGGGTGAGGTCAACATAAAGCTTAGGGTTTGTGATTAAAAAGTAAATCTTAAGTTCGAAACCCAGTTGAAAATGCAATCCAAATGTTAAAGTTTTTATGGTTACTCAAAAATAAATTTTTGGCCTTACTTATGAAATTTGACCCTCAAAAAATATGTTACAAGCTGTTTTTAGAACTTGAATTCTATTATTTTAAAACCCATAATTATCAAGGGCGAAAAATCAATTTCATGATTCTTTCTTAGGAACAATCTTTTTTGGCGAGAAGGGAACCACAACTTTAAAGATTTGCTACACTATATAAAGTTTTCCTTCTTAAAATCATTTTAGTTGGTTACTTACTAAGTTGTTTTAGGGAGCATTATCAAATTACACTTCAGGGATGAACTATTTAACATTTGACCAATTTCTTTTGGTTAAATTTAAAAGACTCATCAAAATACTAAAATTGTCCCTAATTAGAGTTTGGAACTATAAATAAGTAAGGACATTTTAATAATTTAGCTACTTAAGTTACTCGATTCAAAATACCTAGACACCCCTCATTGTTCTAGGTTTCATTAAAAATTATCGTCTTGAGTTTAGAACTCAGAATAAGAAGGAAATTGATGGCTGGAACAAGGTTCTCTGATGAAAAACATTTTTTTGGTTTAAAACCCGAGAAGAGAAAAGATATTGAGGTCATCTGGCTTAAGTGATTTAATTGAGTTAAATTATCAAAATAATTTCCATATTTTAATGTTACAAATTCAGAACAAAGGTAATTTGGACATTTAAACAAATTCTTGATGAGGTATATCTGAATTTTGTTCGTACTATTTTTTTTTTTTTGATGTGGTTTAGCATTGCTGATGACATTTTCTTTAAAATCCAATATCAAATATGATTTTTACACACAAGGAACAACTATTTGGCTAGCAATGGTCCTAGCTGTCTAGATAATGTGTTACAAGATGTACTCTTTTTATGACTTGAAATTCTTTTTTTTTTATATCCATAAATATCGAGGTCAAGATGATCGGTTAGAAGATTTTGCGTTGGCCTAAAAAATAGTGGATCTTTAAGATTTTAAGAAATAAATAAAGCTATATCAACATGCAAATTGGGTTTTAAACTCAATCAGAAATATCCACAAATATATGACATGCAACTCTTATCAAAATACACACAAAAAGTTGCTCTAAATTATTTGGAACTCAAGAGAATGTACAAATATTATTAACTTTATTATCCACTAAAGAATCTCAACCAAAACTCAATTGCAACTGATGATTAATTTTTCTAAACAATCCAAATAGAATTTTCCAGCAAGCATGCACTATCAAAAGCCCATCATAAATCATTCTAACATTATAAGATGATGCCCACTAATTTTTCCTTGCTCATATAGGCTTTCTTAACGTTCAAATACTATTTTCAGTTACAAAAGATGAAGAATAAAGTTAAAACAAACTCACATAAGTTCGCATAAATTTGTACACACAGTTTGATAGCTTTTCTAGAGAGAAAAAACGACTGAGAATGGGTTTTCCAACAATATATAACACGAAATAGAACACAACGTAAAACAGTTACTAGCAGATAATCTAGAGAGAGAAAGCTTCTATGAGATGTAACATGATGCTGGAATTGATCATGTGACACTGAAGATCTCTTACAAAGATGAGAGGCATATCCCTTACTACAGTAAATGCCAACGGCCTAGATTGAATATGGGCCGATCTGACAATCCCAGATGTTCGTAGTTTTTGAATTTTAATTTTTTTTTTACAAATCGGATTGATTTGAAATTTGGGGTGTGTATACATAAAAAATAGGTGAATCTTTGAAAAATATAAATGAAAATAATTGACCAAAATGCCCCTGAAAAGTTTCTGGGGTATTTTGATCAATTTTGTTTTTACGATTTTTGTTTTTATATTTTTATTAGGTGCACCTTGATGAGAAGAATATGCATTTAAAATTTCAAGTGATTTGGATTTATTAAAAATAAATTAAAATTTAAACACGAAAAGAGATTGTAACCATCAGATCGACCCAGATTCAATCTGGGCCATTGGCGTTTACTGTAGCGGTCAGCTAGTGGGCATACAAAATCTACTCCCCATATATATATATATATATATATATATATATATATGTACGTACGTACGTTAGTTACGTACGTACGTACGTACGTACGTACTACTACGTAGTACGTACGTAGTTAGTTAGGTAGGTAAGGTAGGTACGGTACCTA